AACTCAACTACATACAGAACATAGGTCTAGTGTTTATAGACATTTAAATAGGGAATTGTTACAGATTATAGCTTTAAATGTATTTAAAGATCATGGCCAGGGTTCATTAAGCTGTACTACATGACTGCTCACAGCTACACATTATCCTGTGTGTACTGTACATTGGGTGATAATGAAAGTCTGCAGTGCACACAGTGTGTAGCATTGCCTTTATGTTAATCTGTTAAAGTGAAAACTGTCAGCAACAAGGTGACTGTAAATGGTGATGAAATGCTGTCTGATTACAGTTTTTGTATAATTTCTCTATTTCAGTGTTTTTTTCATAATTGCTAGTGTGCGTTCTTTCAGCATGTTAAATAAAGGAACTTGTAGTTTATCAGTAAAAACATACTGAAATCTGTATGGAGAGCTGAAAAAAGGTCAATTCTGTCTTCAATTGATACTGCCTCTGAGAAATTAGAGTATAGCACCCTCTAGTGGTTGCAAAGAGTTAAGCCCAAAAAGTCTCACAGTTTATAAACCTCACCAATACAAATACTTTTGTAAGAGTTTTGCAGAAGTTCTTTATAAACTCATTTGCACAATGAGTGGTTTTTCGTTAAACTGCATTGCTTACAGTATCACATACATATAAAGTACATACATATAGTGTCTATGTCTATACGGCTGCAACGCATGGCCTTCACTAATCTGCATCCATAAAATGCCTCTCAGAACTCCCCAAGCACAAGACCACATTCTCAAACTGCCTGCCTTGTTTGACCAAAACTAAAAGGCATTAAGTTTACTGTGACATAACCTGCAAATCCTCACCGCTGGGACCAGTGCAATGCGTTCTTCTCAAGGAAAGAAACCACGTAGAGTATCCTGAGTCGTAAAAGTGGTTTACGAGTTTAAAGAAGAAATCCATATAGAGAGGATACATATTATATTATTATTACTGTTATCATTAGTATGCTATTTTACAGGATCAGTGTTAGCTTCAAAACATGCATGTGGACTTGGGAATGGGAATGGGAAATTATTATAGTTTTTCTCACAGAATTTGCTGAACATAAATTAACTTAAAGTGTGCTGCTCATGGCAAGTGGCATGAATTAACAATGCCTTTGAGAAAAATAATTATGAAATAAAAACAGACTTTTCAAAAGGGCCATTTTGGAATAAACCTTTCTGTTATTAAATTAAAATGAGCTATAAAAAATGAAAATGAATTAAGTTGACAACACAATTTATTTACAGCATTATTTATTTAGTAATTACTTGTGGATTAATTCAATATTGAACACTTTGGGCCTGTATAAGATACTGCCAGGAAAACAACATTCATCTCCAACATGTAGCAAAGCTCTCTGGAGTGAACTACTATAAACAAAGTAAACTGCTAATTAACCAGCCAAAGGAGCTGATTGGTTCTTGAGATGCTTACCCTGTCCAATGAACTAAAGGATACTTCAGGACAGCTGCTGGCCCTTAACTCTATTAAGGCAATCAACTCTTCTTTCCATGCCTGCACAAAATCAGGTATCCTGTATTTCTATCCCATATAGATGGACTGTAAAATTCTTATAACAGTCCATGGGCCAGACCAGATACCAGCACCCATCAGAGTGTGCAAAATCTTACCTGTACTAAATTCTTTATATGTTTACATTCCATCTTTAAATGAATATTATCAAAATAAATATTACCTAATAAAATATCAGATGCAAACTGAAGGTTTCATATCCAAACACAATCTAGGGGTGTGTAGCGCTCTAAGCTGTGAATGAATGAACCATTCCATGCTCTGCTTGGATCTAGACTTGATTTTTGGTTGTTTGTTTTTTAGTTTTTAGTTTGGTTTAGTCTCTGTATGTTCAGCTTGTTTTGTAATATCTGGCTTAATTGTATGCTGTTATCTTTGTCATTTTTCTGTTCTTTCTGTTGCTGAGGACCGACCTTGAAAACAAAACGCTTCTTCTCAAGGGTTTATTTCTAATAAATAACTGTCTGCCATGTATACAGCTACAGAGGTAGTGTGTGTATGTGCAATGGGGACAGGAAGCGGGACTTCTCAGTTCAGCGCATCGAAAGCACAACCAACCCACAGCCGCCGACTACTTAATGCGCGCTCTTCATCGCTACAGTCTCATTCCTGCGCACAGAGGCAGCATCCAGCAGCATGGCTCTCCGCTACTGCCAAGTCATATTTGCGGCCGTGCTGCTGCTTCTGGCATTAGTCGGGATTCTGCTGGTGGTCCTACCGGCTAAAGAGATTGAGATGCCTCCTGAAGACATGGTAATTATTGTCCTATGCATCATCTTCTAACTGGCGCATGCGAAATTGTTTTTGAATTAGTGCCTGTGTGTGCATAAATATGCGGTTAACAGTAGTAGTTGCAGAAGTAGTAGCATAAGTAGTAGTAGTTGTTGTAGAAGTAGTATGAATGCACGGGAACACTTTATAATAAGGGCACACATCATATACTTATAATGTTTAACTAACGAATGACTTATGATGTAATGCATGCATTAATGCAGGATCTATCAATATTTCCTGTTGCTCACCACTATAACACATGGTGGTGAACACTGCAGACATTATCAGTTCAGGAATGTTAATTCACAGTTACTTCATACTTTAATTGATATGTGACCAATTACATAACTCAAAGCAAATAGTGTGTGTCTGATTATTCTTAAGTTCTAGGAGCAGGGGGCAGCCAGTGCCCTGGGACCAACTCCTTGGTCAAGAATTAAACATATATAAAACAAATGTATGGTCCTGAAACAAACTTTTATATAACTGGAATCCTGCTAATTTGGCTGCATCAGTTATTGTATGAATTGAATGAATGCACTGTGTGTATATGCACTGCACTATATATATACACACAGTACATATATATATATATATACATATATATATGCACTGTGTCTTTTGGCATCGTTCTTTTTTATTTCAGCCTTTGCAATATAGTTAATAGATAAACTGTTAGGTCAAGAAGACATCTCTTACTTACACCATGGTTCATGCACTTGGACCAGTGTGCAAACTATACCATGGTTTTTGGGGGAGCTCACTATTTTAACTAAGGGCGTGTGTGCACCTGTGTGTGTCTCTGATCGTGACTCTTGTTGTAAAGAAACATTTCTAGCTGCAACAGCCTACTTGGTTTATATCAGCACATCTGATATTTAATAACCAGTGCAATTGAGACAACAAATGCAAGGGTCAGATATCAAACCTAACATACCTAACCCTTTGAGTTAACGTGAATGAAGTTCTGTCTCTGTATCAGTGCGTTATTGATAACACTTCTGGTTGTGCACATTAGAACTCCCATTAAGATAGTAAGATTTAAATTCACCACTACAATATTTTTATATGGCTTCCTGATTGACTTGACTTGACGTGAGCTAAGTGCTTAAACCAAAACATGCCACTCTGACCACTGATCTCAAAGGTTAAAAGTTGTTTCTCAGAAGGAAGTGAGTGAGTCAGAGCACCAGTGAACAGACCTGACACAAAGAAACAGAAACTTTGTGAGAGAAAGAAAGAAGTCTGTGTCTTTCATTTGAGATGCTTTCTGTGAATACATTCATGTGCTCTATCTTTTGTTAATGTCACAGACACTTTGAAATTTGTCAGAGTTTGTGAATTGATCTCATTCTGCCAAAGGCTGCCTTTGCCTGCAGAACAACAGTTGAATAGAGTGTGATGCTTTGAAGTTGTCATTGCAAGAGAGCACACAATGGGAGACAAAGTCAACATTAATGATGAATAAAATAAAACATCCCAAAACAGAACAACATAGCTTATATTGTTATAGCAGATCAGTAAATATGTAGCTTTTTAGTTTCGTGACAACATTTGATGGCAAAAAGAATCGGTTCAACCATAAAAGGCCAGCGTGCACAAATCAGCAAAATTGTTACCAAAAAACAGAGGCAGAGGAACATGTGCCAACCACATCCTGTTAACTTACTATAAGTGCAAACAAAGCAGGCCATCATGGGTTGAAAAACACAGACAATGTACAACTGCTAATTCAAACCCCTTAGTAAATAAAATATACACTGAAAATATCATTTCACATCAGTGTTATCAGAGGTGGGGGAAGCCACCCTCTGAGCAGCATTATTAATAGCTTAAATGAGGTACTGAAGGCCTGCTGTATGCTCTGGCACTGTATTGTATGTTTCTGACACTGAATGCTCTGTCTCTTTCAGTATGGAATCGTTCTAGATGCAGGCTCGTCCCACACCTCCATGTACATCTACAAATGGCCAGCTGACAAGCAAAATGGCACTGGTATTGTTACCCAGCACAGCGAGTGTCATGCCAAAGGTGAGCTCCTCCCAGTGTAAAAGATGAGGGTGGCATGACAAATGCTGCTTCACCACTTTAAAATAAGGTTCTAAACCCACCACGGAACTCCCTGTTTAACTGTGCACCTAAGAATTTGATTGGTAGAGCCAGTTGTGCTTATCGAAGCCTGGGACGAAGTACTGCCTGAGAGGTCAAGGTGCTTAAAAAGTCATGTACTCCTTCTAGCTCATTAAAACTTCCAGGATCTCTAAATATGCAAATGTTGCTTGTTTATCAAGTGTCTACATCACACTGTATAAGTTGCATACTTGACCAAGTTTATGTTACATGTCGATATACCCTTTATTACAGCAAATGGTCAATTTATCCAAATTACAAAAATATATACACATATACTTCTTGTAGTATCTCCCTGGGTCATTGCGGTGCTCACAGCATTTACCAATTTAATTTGATTTAAAAATCCATTTACCTTGATTATAGTTTTCAAAACCTTGTCAAGTAAACTATAAGTATAACTATAGTAAAAACTATCTGCATGGCTACATATCACCGGTGGTAAGCAAGAATATATGTTTTGTTCTCATTTGGCTGAACTGACAGAAAAAATGGAAAATAATGCAGAAGCAATGTCAACACGCTATGTCTTGTGCAAGATTGTTGTTCCTACTTCCTCACTAGACAATGTGAGCGTTAGATGAGAATCTTATCACTGACATTTATTCCTCTTCATGCCCTGGTTTGTTTTAAGGGTTTCCTTAGAAACACCAATCAGACACTTCCTCTCAGGGGGCCATTCATCCTTTAAGACAGGGAAGTTCTCTTTTTAGAAGGTCAGGCTGAGTTCTTTGTAAGCAGAACTACTTTCTCTTTCTGTAAAGGTGGAGGGATATCCAGCTATGCAGGTGTTCCTGGTGGTGCAGCAAGAAGTCTGAAGTCCTGTCTGGATCAAGCCGTGAAGGATGTCCCAAAATTCCGGCACCACCAAACTCCACTCTATCTGGGAGCGACTGCAGGCATGAGGCTCTTGAAGTCAGTTGAAATTCCCATTAAGACAGAATGTTACACTGATTTTACAACCATTATCCTCATCAATTACGCACAAATGAATTAAAATTGACCTTGGAAGGACTTAATATTGTTTAATTCCCAATTTACCTCTCACCTCTCTTTAACAGCATAGTCAATGCCACAGAGTCGCAGCAGGTGCTGAAGGAAGTGGCAAACAAACTGCGGTCTTACCCTTTCAAATTCAAAGAGGCAGTCATCCTGAGTGGACAGGAGGAGGGGGCCTATGGCTGGGTCACAGTCAACTACTTACTTGAAAACTTTGTCAAGGTGAGCTCTGACTTTTGTGTTTTAAAACACTGTCCTTGCAGTATAACACACAGAAAGTCCCAGAGGAAAGAATAAGGTGCTTTAACATAGTTACATTGAACCCCCCTGTGGGTTGGAATTGAAATCTTCAGATTTTGGCATCACCTAGTGGTAGTATCAAAACAGAAGGATGCACTAATTACATACAAGACTAAGTAGCCAAGGTACAGTAGCAAGGATGTGCTGTACTGGGGAGCAAAGGTGCTAAAATTGTGTTGATACACATCAGTGATAGGACAGTAGTGTAAATAGTTAAATAGTAAAAAATAGTTTGTGTGAAGTGTTTATAGGGTCCAGCCATTGACAGTATATAATTGGTTGCATTTAATGTAGGAGAGCAAAATTAACCAACTTCTCACTTGATTTATTAACTCGGTCAACAGTTTCCTAATGAGTTTATGGTCTCAGTCTCTAGTTTCAGTCTTCTTCCATACAACATAAAGCAGGGTATGCTTTAG